AGTTTTCATGTAGTTTTCGGGCATTTTCTATTGGCCAACATGAGAGCCTATATCTGGCTGCCACGAATAGGCAGGAAGATTCTATTGGCCAGCGTGAGAGCCAACAGCTGACTGACCCGAATGTTAACTAGCATGCTAGCATGCAAAAAAATATCGATTGCTGCATTCGTCACAAGTGGGAAAAATTTAAATCTGCATGGCACTTTACTCCAATTGGCTCATTCACTTGCTTAAACTCAACGTTGATTCTGATTCGGCAGAACTGGGTTCGGGTGTGAAAAAGTATTTGTTGTTAACATTCTTTTTTCATTCGGTTTTTCCAATTACGAGTCCTTTTTTAAAGCTGATCGTTTTGTGTTCATTTTGTTTAGTTCTTTTTTCATAACAGATTTAATGTTTAGTATAGAGCTTAGAAAAAATTCGCAGTGTGAGATAAGCAAGAAGTAAGGCATGTAGCAACATCAGCACGGCAAAGGGCACTCCTTTAAAGGCAAGGAAGGGCGAAAATATTTTAAGTCAAGTGATAGCGATTGCTGTATGAGTCGTATGATTTTTGAATCAAGCACGGGCAACGCCGGGCCATACTGCTAGTATTTGATAAATACAACGGAAGTGTAGCGTCGTTTCTCCGAGTTAAGCAGTAACAATCTTTGTCTAGTTACCAAAGATACATTCCATCTCATTTGAATATCACGCTTTTACCCTTAACTCTTTCAGGAAACACTGTTCTCTCTTCAGTTGGTGTAATTAGGAACATTATTTGTTCTAACCAATAGTTTTATTCTTCAGAAGGTGTCCTTATTTGAGAATTCTTTTCAATATCATCAGCATACCTTTATTTAATTCAGAGTGGGTAAGCAATGCTGAGAAAATCACCATATATGACAAGGTTGCTGAATGGTTTTCGGCCACATCAAGAAGGGGTTCCAAAATATAGCTATATATATATATGTGTATGCTTCATCATTTTGTCAATATTTGGGAAGTAGGTATGACTGAAAAAACCTTTCAGCACCTCCTCGAATATGGCATCAGGAATTGAATACGTGAACGAAGACATAAGATGATTTTCAAAGAGTTTTGCAGGACATACCGCATCGAAGAAGCGAGAAAAGAAAGAAGCGAACGACTTCGGAGAGATTAATTTGTTTAGGTTTCGCGTAAGAAAATAAATTTAGGTAAATATTGAATTTTGAAAAAGTCCCAAGAGATATGCATCGCTTAAAAGGTGTAATCGAGCCTTGAATTGCTGTGAGGTCTCTCGCGGCTGAGTGGTCTGGCTTGAAAGTGGATTTCCACATTGTATGAAGAATGCAGGTTCGATTAATGCCAAAAGTCATATCCTCTTTATTAAGTCTTTCAACTGCCCAGGCCGATAGATTCTTTAAAAGAGAGGGGTGTCTATTCAATTACGTGTATCCACTACATATGACGTTTAGAATCAGAAGAGATACACACACACAGACACACACACGCAAACACGTAGACACACAGAACAAACACACACACACACACACACACACACACACACACATATATATATATATATATATATGTGTGTGTGTGTGTGTGTGTGTGTCAGCAGCCTTTCTTGGAAATAACTTTCTTTAAATATGGCAGACAAGGAAAATTTAATGAATTATCATTTAGTTTTTCCAGCGTTGTTACGTTTTTTCCGTTTGATGGGAGTAAGAAATTATGAAAATGTTCCATATTCTTCATTTTCTCAAGTGTTTTTTGCGACTTTAGTCATTTTCAGGGGAGTGTTTTTTTTGGTGTTGTTAGTTTTTCATCATGTCTTGACTGTTTGAGTTAAGTATTTTATTTTGTGTTATTTTGAATAGGAGCCATTATTCCGAACTTTTGTGCATATATATATATATATATATATATATATATATATATATATATATATATATATCCACGCACAATGGGTAGTGGAAATTTCTCGACTGGGCCGACTCTCTACAAAAATTGTATGTTTAGTCCTTTGATCAGACTGTGGAGGAGGATTGAGAGGCTTTCCTCACGGCTTGTTTGTTTTATATATATATATATATATATATATATATATATATATATGTTATATATATATATAGACATATAACGAACGTTGGTGATATTATTCGTTCTCATGTAACGAATATATATATATATATATATATATATATATATATATATATATATATATATATATATATATATATATATATATATATCCTAGCAATATAACCCGTTGTCGACCGTGTGTTATCTTACTGAAAATCTTGCCGTTCAATTGAAGCAGTTTAAGTTTAAAGTCAGTCCACCCAAAAATCAATATTAGTAACAACAATTGGTTGCAACTGAGGCACATCCCCAAATGGGGGGGGGGTAACAATTTGAATGGGGGTGTCCCTGAAAGGGGCCGTTTTTGCGTTCTCAGTCTTGCAAGGAAGGAACCTCTTCCATGGACCGTCATAGTAATAATATACGATAAATTTTATATATAATATAATTTTTTTTAATTATTCTAATAATCAGTTGTTAGATTTCAACTCTCTAAATTAATTTACAATGTTTGTTACAGACATTACATTTTACCTTACATTTTTGCGCAAAGTGTATAAAATCATTTTTTTTTTTTAATTTTTCACCTTCAAGGTTGTAATTTTTTCCAGACAATTTGGTTTTTTTGTTTCATGTATAATACTGAAGAATTATACATGAAACAAAAAATTTTATCGAAATCGGATGAAAACTGTGGAAACGCATAAACAACATCCGATCACACACACACACACACACACACACATACATACAGATAAAGATTTTGAGAATTATATATATATATATCGACTTACCTTAACCTCATCAGGCTGTAAGTGCCAGAACTTCCTGATGAGCCTAAGACGCTTGTTGGTATGTCGTTGTAATATCTTTTTAATACGATTTTAATATTACTTTGCGCATTGGGTACTTATTTTTTACAATTTTCAATTTTATGCTTGTATATATATATATATTTATATATATATATATATATATATATATATATATGTGTGTGTGTGTGTGTGTGTGTGTGTAATATGTTTCCCGGTGATTATAGACAGAGGGTCAAGGATCCCCTCTTTGAAAACGGTAGAAAATCACAGGTACTCTGATTCTTGAAAGAACCGCTAATCTCTTTGTAAATAATCACGTATTGCTTTGACGGGGTCCATTCTAGTCACTAATAGTGAAAAACAAAACGACTGAAGGTATTTTAATATCATCAGCCCCAGTCTTACTTTATTTAGGAATTATCAAAATCACGTTTAGTTTTAATTTGGCGACGACCATAACATATGTCTTCAATTTCTCCTTAGAGTCGAACTTGAATCCTAAATTTGAAGACTAATGATCTCCAGCTGAATCCTGTAACGTTGCCACTCAATTATGACACGCTATTTGCCTAGAAGAACTAATATTAGAGGGCAAACGTTGATTCTTATTAAAGAATCCGTGACGGCAGTGAAATGAAAATTCGTTACTTACAAAAATTCAGCAGCGGGATATTTTTACATGTCTTAGGAATAGAAACTATCGAGCAATCATCATTCTAATGCATGGAGATCGTATATTTTACAGGTACAAGAATGCATGCAACTCATGACAGCATAACTTATAAGCGAATTTGCACAGAGCTCCTAAAAGTCGGACCTTATTTAATGTGGACCCATGAAGCGGATGTAGACACCGTCGTTAAATATATTTTTCTTGTATGACAAAAACACGATTCTATTCGGGATTTTTGACGAAGATGAATACAGATATATATTTTTGTTTTGAAATAATTATCAATGTTATACAAAAAGTATTAAACTTACATGAGTCATTTTAATTTGATTATCACTACTGTTTTTTTTTTGTATAGCGGTTGGTGCACAATGATCGCCATTGACTTAATTCATCGTACATAGCTTCATTAAACTTATGACAAAGCTGAAACAAGTGTTGTCGTTTTAATTATCATCATTATCATCATCATAAATCCTGTGGTCAGGTGTGGTCGTAGGGTAGCAGCGTAATAGAGCACTTGGTCACTTCATTCCACATATCTGACTTGAAAGCCGAAGAGATATTCATTCGTGCGTAGCGTGTCTTGGGTAAACAAACCTGGCGGATCCCATCCCTCTCCAGGTCAGACTGCAACCGATGTCCTAAAAATTGAAGGGTCACTTTGGACATGGGCAGATGGCCGTTGATTTCGTCGAGGAAAAATCTCCTACCTAAACATTGACTAGGAATCTCTCTCTCTCTCTCTCTCTCTCTCTCTCTCTCTCTCTCTCTCTCTCATTTTTTTTTTTTTGAGGAAGAATAACAATATCATTACTACGCGGATAACATAGATTCAATTGGCCCAGCCGATTGTCCTCTAACTTGGAAGATCGCATTCGTCACGGACACATAGTCGTTGATTCCATCTGGGAAAACCCACTGCCCGCGCTGTTGACTTCAGTCTCGGAAGCCGTCCGCATCGGTTTCATACATATCTAAGGAGCTCAGTCTATCCCTTGTGATTGGTGGACGTTGACCCTACAAAAAGGTTCATCTACCCTTAATCACGCTGAATGTTTAACCACATCAGAAAAGCCGGGTAAGGAAACCTGTTGTCACCGATGACCCAACCATACTACATGCAGTATTGCGTTAGATGATACCATTACCATTCGTAGAAGTGACATAACAAATAATGGTACTGTTCGTGTAATTCTTAAAAGTCAAAGTATTGAATATTTTTCTATGTTGAAATCTATCCTGAATCCTCAGTCACCTATCTATGCATTGTTTCCAGGAGAAATTAAAGGATAGCAATATAATTTCTTATTAAAAACAAAAATTAATTGAAAAGACATAAACATAAATGATGATGTCGCCATTTCAGTCATTTCCTTCTTAACATATCCATAAATCCGGAGTTTACGAGTTTTTAAGAACATTTTCGTTTTCCGTGTTAGATTTTCTTTCTTGGGTTTCACCTAGTTAGAATAAAGAAAGAGCATTGTATTAAAATGTTTAAAGAAAGAATAAAAAATGAAAGACAAAATGGCGAGTGGCGTAAATGACAGACCTGAAGATTAAGAAAAAGTCAAATAAAAACTCGAGTAGGTAAAAAAAAAAGAAGGAAAAGAATCAAAGACAGAATTGAAATGACGAGTGGGTTAGAAAGCTGAGAAGTCACTGATATTGGGGTTTATATAATGTGCGTGTATGGCAACTTGAACAAAACATAATTGGATTTTGGAAAAGGAGCAGATTCTCTCAAACCAACCGACAAAATGAAAAAAAAATGTTACGTTAATGTAACTCAATATGATTATCACTTCACTGTGACTCCATACTGCAAATGATACTCATAATTTCTCTCTTTCTTTCTTTCTTTCTCTCTCTTTCTCTCTTCATACAAGCTCTACTCACGCAAACGATTTCACCTCTTTTCGGCGAGCATATTTATTCAGACGAACGCGTACATACACAAATGAACAGATCCAAACAATTTTTATACACTTAAAGTTCTGCCATTTTTTTCTTTCTTTCTGACACTTTCACTTGTTGTTAATCTTGTCAGTGTTAAAGTTTCTTTTGTGAAAAAAGATATCGGTAAAGGGGGGGGCAGTGTAGAAAAGCAAACGGCTCTTCATACATTTGATTCTCTGCTTGTTGTTCAGCTCCTCAAATTCTTCAGTCATCTTGCCACTATGTAATTTTTTTCTGTACGTTGGCACATTTCTACTCCTGAGCGAACAATAGAAGGTGTCGAAAATCATTTTTTATGACGTTAGCGACAATATCAAAAAGATCGATTGCAAGTTCTGCATTCTGAAATGCATTCTCTTTGTATCCATCTCTCACTCTCTTTCTCTCTCTACACCCCACTCTCTCCCATTCTCTCCCTCTCATTTTCTCTTTCTCTCTCGCTTTCTGTGTGTTTGATGTAAAAAGGAATTTATGAACTATATTTAACGGATGAAATAAGAAATGGTCAAAAGCTATTTTCAAGCAATAAGCAAACTACCAGTATAGACAAATACGAAGATAGATAGATAGATAGATAGATAGATAGATAGATAGATAGATAGATAGATAGATAGATAGATAGATATAAAAGGGCTAGGATAGATAGATAGATAGATAGATAGATAGATAGATAGATAGATAGATAGATAGATAGATAGATAGATACGAAAGAGGGCTGCAGGATGCAAACAGATATGAAGAAACTTAAATAGATAGAAAGAAAGAAAGAAAGAAAGAAAGAAAGAAAGAAAGAAAGAAAGAAAGAAAAATGGAAAGAAAGGAACAAAGGAAAAGGAAGAAAGATAAAGAAATGAGATTAAATGGACAGATGGATAGATAGATAGATGATAGATAGATAGGATAGGATACAAACTGAAATAGATAGATAGATAGATAGATAGATAGATAGATATAAAAATAGGATAGATAGATAGATAGATAGATAGATAGATAGATAGAGATAGATAGATAGATAGATATAAAAAAGGATAGATAGATAGATAGATAGATAGATAGATAGATAAAAGATAGGATAGATAAAAGAGAAATAGAGAGATAGATAGATAGATAGATAGATAGATAGAATGAAAAGGATGCAAACAGATGAAGAAACTTTAGATAGATCGATAAATAGATATGATTGATTGATTCAGTTTTTAGGTAGGAACAAACTTATCAACAGATAGATAGATAGATAGATAGATGCAGGTTATTAAAAGGGCTAGGATAGTAGAAATAAATTTTAGATTGATAAGAATTTTATTGGGATAAATAATAAAGTGTTAGATGATAGATAGATAGATAACCCAGGATGCAAACTGGAGGAGAAAAAAAGAGGTGGAAGAATAAATTTATGGAAAGTGCATATAACGAACAAACTGAAATAGCTAGTAACAGATGATTGGAAGATAGATAGATTAGATAGATAGATAATAATAGATACATAGATAGATATAAAAGGGCACATCCACAGATAGATAGACGATAGACCAAGCGGTCGATATATATATATATATATATATATATATATATATAGGTTATTTATATATATAGATAGATAGATAGTGATACTAATAAGATAGATAGATAGATAACGAACCCAAGATGGAACCCGGTTCCCCGATTAACAATTACAGGGAAAACAGACATATAGATAGATATATATAGATAGATAGATATATAACATAGATAGAAAACAGACATGAAGATAGACAGGAAAAAACATGAAGATAGATAGATAGATAGATAGATAGATAGATAGATAGATAGATAGATAATGAGATGGCTAACAGAGTGAAAACAGACATGAAGAAAGATAGATAGATTGATAGATATTATTGATGATATGCATTTTCCCAATTCGTAATAGTAAGTAGTTATCAGTGACGTAAGCAAAGTGAAGACAACTCTTAAAGAAGTCAAAGATCGATTTGACACAGTATTTATATTATGAACAGGACCTCATTTTCTAAAATGATTAAGGAAATCAATATCTCTAATCTGACAAATGTTGCGGTTTCAGGAAGCTCGAATGAATGCTAATCTATAAAATGAATCCCCCCCCCGCACAAAAACTATTTCTATTTTTTTATTTATTTATTTATTTATTTATTTTTTTTTGAGCGGACTAGACAATTTCAGTAGCGCCCCAACATCCACTTCAAGAAAGAATCCATCCTGGTTGTGTTAGCCTTCACCTTATCTTCGCATTTAAATCGGTTGAGAAAATGTGCTTTTTTTTCTGCTACAGATAGATTCTCAGATGCTGGATTTAAGCCTGTATGATTTGAATGTTTCTGCATATGTCTCTGTGTGTATGACAGAAAGCTGTTTGCGCTCGAGCGTGTGTGTATGTATTTGTTTTCTTTCTTTCTTTCTTTCTTTCTTTCTTTCTTTCTTTCTAACATATCGTTCAAGTTACCTTGCGAGTATAGCTCAAATGTCAAGGTAATGAATTTTAAAATATTTCTGATTACTGGCGTTCCCGGTGATCTGTTTAAGGATTAATGACCTGCCCAATTTAAAAACAATTTTTTTTTTTAACTCTCACCAATTATTAATTTCGTGGGTTTAACATTATACTTTTAGCAGTTATTATAGACGGTGGAGTAATGGATAGCGGTTCGGATTGAGGAATCGTAGAGCTGAGTTCGAATTCCAGTCGGAACCATTACGTGCTAATACCCTTGGGAAAGGTATGAATCCTCTTATCCCCCACCCCAGCTATGGGTAAATAGCAGGACAGACCGGGTTCTTAATTGGATGGCAACTGGTTTAGCTCAGAAAGAAATGGCAACCTACTGCGGGAAAAAAATCTGCATTGTCAGTCATGTATCGAAAGATATATGATCGTCTAAGCGTGTATCACGCATAGCACATAACTAACTGAATAGAACATTTCTGAGTTTAGCTAAATGGTTAGTGTTACGGATCGATGACTGTTTGGTTTTCTGTATTCTGGAATGATTGACGCTCCTTGACAAAAACTTTCTTCGAAAATTGATGTATATAACTACAGACGTTTTCGTAAAAATACAGGAATCCCTCTATTAGTGCAGCTAATGTGAACCATAAAAAATCGATTTTCAATTACTATGGTTAAACAGAAGAATGTTTTATTGCACTAATCAAATTTTGGTATATAAAAATTTTAGCCCACTAATCGAAAACGTATTAATTGTATGCGCACTAATCGAGGTATGGCTGTATACGCACCCAACAAATATAGCAATAGTGACTATAATATGGTTATTCGTTGTTCTAACATTGCAAGTGATTTTCTTTCCCACGCCAGCCGAATCTGGAATATAATAGTAATAAACATTTTTTAAAAGGAAAATGTTTATTGAAACAAAAAGTTTGCAAAACCCGCGCAATTTACAATGAAAATAATTGTATTTTGCGGGGGGGGGATCCTTATTTTTTACTCTGACATAATGGTAATATCAACTGTTTCCTTTTAAGGAAATATTAGGCATTCACTGAACTAGCAGTCAATGCAGCTGTTGGTTGAAATTTATAAAACAATGTCTTAAATCAATTTTTCAGGTAAATAAGTTTCTCAAGTAACTCTTATTGCTCTTCCCAGTATCCTAACTTTTTATTTGAAGTAGTGTGGAATATCAACATCTTGATTATGCCGACATTATTTTCTCTTTAAGTTACATGTTCTATCCATTTAGTTATTGCTGTGGTTGAAAGTTCTCAAGTGATGCAATTTCTGTTTTTGGTAGTTATTTGTGCTTTTGTGGGGAAGATGGGTCTTACTAACATTTTAGTTTTAGTTTAAATGTTTTATTGTATTTTATTTTCGTTATTGGGTTCATCCCCTCCACTCTCATTTCATGTCATATATTTTGATATATTTTTGTAAAAAATTAAAAATTAAAAAAATGACAATTTGTAGATTATCGATTTTTTTATATCATGGCGTTTGTGAATATGCGGTATTGTGGTATATGTTGAATTGAATAATGGTGGATGAGTTCTTGTGGTGATTGAATCAAATGTAAAAGTGGATTAGCTAGGTGTAGGATAGTCAGTGACGACCAAACTTTCCCCACTTCCCCTTTTGGTCTTTTGCCACGTGAAATGTAATATTTAAAAATAAACAGTTCCTTGTGCTTCTTTAACGCCAGTCCACGAGTTTCGAAAAGGGATGAGCCTCACTGTGATCTCGAGCGTTACTATAGCTCGAAGCAATTCTACATCATCGATCTGAGAAGCGGTTGTATACAGCCGTCAGTTTAGATATTTCTGAATGAATATGGCGTCATGTATGGCATCCATGTGAAAGTTTCGATCTAATGAGACGATTTAAGAACATGACTCCAGTTAAAGTTTTACAATAAATACATTTAAATGGCATATCTCTTCAGGAAATAGACAATCATGGTTCTCCACAGTTTCTTTTTTCTGTATTATCTGCGAATTGCTTTGCCTGTTTGAAAAATATAGTGTCGTGGTTTCTCTATAGTTTTCAATTCAGAGTAGTCTTTCTCCTAGACTGGATGCCACACAAGGCTATATAATTCATTTTACCCTACTATTTAATTCATAGGTAGAAACAGTTCTATGCTTTGGCAAAGGGTAAAGGAAAATATCTGGGTATGCGATTCTCTTTTGTATGTCGATGCTATTTTGTTAGTGACTTATGCGATCTCGTAGTTCCTTTTTCTGTTATATATCATCTACTTCTGAGAATATAGGCGACTATGGCTCTCCACAACATCCTGTTTTTTAACACTTTCCATATAAAGGGACGACTAAGACATATTCATGATTTTCGAGACTTGTGATTGTGTCTCGTTTTTTTTTTTTTTTTTTTTAGTTTTTTTTTTATAATAATGAAAATCCAACTCAGTTGGGCGAGACATCTTTCTCATATGAGCGATAGCAGACTTCGGAAACAACTTATCTTTGGCAAGTTTCTAACAAGCAGGTCAGTTGTAAGGCCACTCTTGCATTCCAAAGGTAAACTCAAAGACAATCTGAAGCGATGTAGCATTCCCTTTTTCTTCCTGGGAAAACAAAGTATCAGAGCAAAGATTGGCTCACCTGCCCCACTTCGCATCTATACAAAGGTTTGAGCTAGGTCGACTTGAACATCGGGATCAACTGTGTGCAAATATTAAAGAAAGTTGACAGCATGCTACACTTATCAATGATTACCTTAACTGCCGTTGTGGCTTTGTCCGACGTAGCAACGCAAGCGTTGCTGTCCACTCGAATCATTCGTTTACCTCGTGAGATAAAGGTAGCGCCCAGTTTAGCTTAAATTCAGTTCTTTGATAGTGAGACTACAGTAACATCGATATATATATATATATATATATATATATATATATATATATATATATATATATATGTATATAAATAAAAAAGAAAGAACAGTAAGATATAAAATCCGGTGTTCTTATAGATATTTTATTTTTACAAAATAGTGCTCAATGTAAATTTACAGAGCATTAATATTATAAATTAATTGATTTAAAATATGGTTATTTTCGCTACACAGTTCCAACCATGTTTCAAAAATAGAAGCTAAAACCCTAATTTTATTTTTGCAAATAAATTAAAAGCATTAGTTCTATTTCATCTTCAAGCGAATTTTGGAGTAACTTTTAAAATTTACCGGGTTTAAATACACAGCTAAAATCACGTTTCCATGGTTACAGAATATTCTACTCAAATTGAACACGGGGTGTCTAGATTTTCCTTATGACAGTATCATTGTATCAGTTATTAGCTACATTTTGGTAAGGGGTGAGGATGTATTTTACACTGAAACCTGACGTCGGTTGAATGGATGTCGTCTGAATTTAAAAAAAAAAAAAAAATATATATATGTGTGTGTGTGTGTAACATCGATATATATATATATATGTATATATATATATGTAAATATATATATATATATATATATATATATATATATATATATATGTATGTATGTATATATATATATATATATAGATAGATAGATAGATAGATAATATTAGTGGTAAATATACACATACATATGCAAAATATATAAATATATATACATGTATGCATATATATATATATATATATATATATATATATATATATGGATATATGTGTATGTGTGTATATGGGTATATATATGTGTGTATGTGGGTACACGCCTATATGTATGTATGTACGTGTATATGTTATTGTGTATGTGTGTATACGCATGTGTTTTTGAACAAAAAATATAGGTTAGATTATATAATAGTTATATTTATTTTTTATATGTTTATATTTGATTTGTAACCTTTAGTCGATATTAATTTTGTCAAATTTTCTTAATTACACAGCGGCCCTTTCAGTAAATGCCCTTCAGTTTTAGTTTTCCCCGTCCCATCTCTCTCCCCCAACCTTTTTTCTTTTCTTTTCTTTTCCCCTCTCTCCCTCTTCTTCTGATCTTTAAGATTAGATCGTCTATGGTGTGTGTATGTCACCACAAAATGTATCCTTTCCAGTGACATCTTTAATATATTAGACATCCGACAACATTCATATTTCTCTCACTTAAAACCGTCTTTAACTCACCTCTCTAAAACTTCTCTCTGTTAAGTTTTTATCTCCCACCTTCTCTCGTCTGTTACCCCTCTCTTTAGCTCTAACATTCGTCCCACACTCTCATACTTACACTCTCTCTAAATTCTATTTTTTATTTCTGGAGTTGTTTTTTCTGTTTTCGTTTTGAATTTGTAGGTCTGATGAATTGGATCGTATTTACGATTCCAATGGAATAAATTATGACCATGGAATATTAGTGTTTAAGCCTTTCTATTATTTTATTTATATATATATATATATATATATATATATATATATATATATATATATATATATATATATATATGGAACCGTTAAAAAAGTTTGAATGATGTATTTATCTATCAAAAAGGGTAAATTCCCCTTCCCTTACAATTATTTTTTTTCGTATTAATTAAATAGTTTATTGTTTTAGAAGTAGTTGTAACATATTTTATGTTAAACTTACATAAATATTTTTCATTTGTAGTTGTGATAGAGTTGGTGGAAAGAACATAGAAATACATGGGAGAAACTTCAAGACATTTTAATCAAATATTATATGAACACAAAAGTGATTTCTTATAAAACAACACACTCAATGAAATTAGTTCCACACCATAATTTTTATTTAAAAAATTCTACCTTAATTAAAAGAGAAAACAATTTATTGGGACGAAAGCGTATAGAAAGTGCATTAATCGTAAGGTCATCCACAGCAAATTCACGTGAAGATTCTTACAACATTTCATCTTTC